GCAATGCAGCGCTGGCAGCAATGCAGGGAAGGAGCAATGCAGCGCTGGCAGCAATGCAGAGGAAGGAGAAGTGCTGCACTGGCAGCAATGCAGGGAAAGAAGCAATGCAGCGCTGGCAGCAATGCAGCGCTGGCTCGTCTCCTCCAAGGCAGCTCCTCCCTGTCCTGCAGGAATTGCTCTGAGCCAGCCCGTGCTGCCTCCTCAGCTGGGAAGGACTGGGAAGCACTGAACTCCTCTTTTTCTGTCAAAAAGGGAGAATCCCTCCCCAGCAGCTGCACATTTCCTGCCAGAACGACAACCCCAAAACCCTCCTGGCTGTAAATGGCATTATCCACCAGGAGAGCAGTTCCAGGGCCTGGGGAATGGGCAGTGGGGAGGGAACAAACCCCAAACGTGGAGGGAACAAACCCCAAACGTGCCATCTCCTCCTCTCTAAGGTGTCAGTGCTCTGCCCTCCTGACTCAGTGGAGAATTCCTTACAGCAAGGACTTCACTTGTGTAACACAGTGCCAAACTTTGCATTGATTATAAAATAATGACCTGGATTATTATTGTTTCTTCTTGCTTAATTGTGGTACATTCTGCAAGAGTCACAGTTTCAATTGTATTTTAGTCCAGTTGTCTCTGTCAAAGTCCATCCGCTGAAAAATTCCACCTGTGTTCTGCAGATGTGGGCAAGATTCATTGTTTTTCCTCAATCAATATATCAATTAGCCAACACTTAACTTGCCATAAAAATTAATTGGCTCCACATTGATTTGCCTCCCCCAGGGTAACACCAGCATTTGTGTACCAACGGGAATTGCTTCTTCCCTTGTTTTATTTTCTTATCAGCAATGCTGTTAAACAAACCCCAGGTGTGGCCTGGCCAGGAGCAAGAGAGAGAAGAGGAAGGGATTTGGGTGAGCTTTCAGGCAGAATCCACTGCCTCATCCAGAGCTCAGAGAGAAGGGACAAGCGAGGAGAGGCTGAGCTTGAGGAGAGGGTCTGAGGTGCCTGCAGGGCAGCATCCCCCAATGCTGAGATGTTCCTGCAGCTCCTGCAGGACAGCCAGGGACAGCAGAGGGACTGGGAGAGCCAGGAACAGAGTGGGAAAGAGACTGGGAACCAGAGAGGGGAATGGGAGAGCCAGGGACAGAGTGGGAGAGGGTATCAGGAACAGGAGAGGGACTGGGAGCAGCAGCTGCTGAAGGAAGGAGCTGATAATAATCAAGAGGAGAAGATGCTAAAGGAAGGGAGGAAGGAGTGGATGATAATGGAGAGGAGAGGCTGATAGAGGAAGGAGCTGATAATCCAGAGGAGAAGATGCTAGAGGAAGGAAGGAGCTGGTAATCCAGAGGAGAAGCTCATGATGGAGAGGAGAAGATGCTAAAGGAAGGAGATATAACTGGGAGAAGTTACTTAATGAAGGAAGGAGATGATAATGGAGAGGAGAGGCTGATAGAGGAGAAGCTGATAATGCAGAGGAGAAGCTGCCAAAGGAAGGAGCTGATATCAGAGAGCAGGGGCTGCTGAAGGAAGGGGTTGATGATGATGCAGAGAAGCTGCCAAAGGAAGGAGCTGGTATCAGAGAGCAGGGGCTGCTGAGGCCTCCCTGTGGAGGGAAGGTCCCAGCAGGGCCTGGTCTGAAGCCCTCCCTGCACAAGGGGACAGAGCAGAGGCAGCTCCCACAGAGGAGAGGAGCAGCTGCTGGAGGATGCAGTGTGAGAGCACGGCAGCAAAGATGAGCACCTCTCGGTTCCCCAAGCACGGTGTTTGTTAAAATGGACCAGCACTGACATGGAACAATGCTAAATCAGTCCTGACTCGCAGTATCTCAGTAAAACATGCCTTTTTTCCCAGAACCAAACAATTCCTCAAAGTGGCACTGCCCCAAACTATACTTGAGGGAAAAGCAGCTGCATTAAGAATTCCCAATTTGCATCTAATCTTCACGAGAGGATTCTCACAGAGGCAGCAGCAGCCAGGAGCTCATAACTCTCCAAACTGCAGCTGCACATGTTCCTGTTCTGCAAAGAGCAACGAGGAAACAAAGCCCTGGAGAGAACTCCAAGTGCTCGAAACGAGTGTACGAGAAGTTTTCCTCCAGATGTGAGGCAGCTGTCTCTGCAGTGCCAGCCACGAGTGAGGGATGGGAGCGCTGCCCTCCTGTGCCACCTCCTCATTGTCTCATTGTCCCTGCACTTCTGCGCCCTCTTTGTGCTCAACGTGCCTGATTCACACCCTGCTGCTGCTCCTACAGCTGAAAGCAGCCTGGAACACAGGGACTCACAGCAGCAAAATGAGAGGAACAGCAGATTTGTCTTTCCAAACAAGCTGGTGGATGACACCAGCACTGGGAGATAAAAGAAACAACGGGAAGGATTCCACTGATTGGTGAATGGAAAAAGATATTTTGCTTTTACAAATAAAGTTTAGGTTTGCCGATAAATGAAACTGGACATTGAAAAATGAAAGAAACAATGGGGAAGAAAAACTCCTAAATTCCGTAAGAATTAAAAATTTAAAAGGAGGGTTGTACATTAGAGGGGAATCTCCAGTATCAGGCATATCAGGAAGTCTGAACCTCTCAAGTACCTCAGAAATGGGGAAAAACCCCTAAATTCCGTAAGAATGAAAAACTAAAGGGGAGGGTTGTACATTAGAGGGGAATCTCCAGTATCAGGCATTTTGGGGAGTCTGAACCTCTCAGGTACCTCAGAAATGGGGAAAGAGAGAAGGGAAATGCAGCTGGGAAACTGGGATAAAAAGGAGGCTGTGTCCTCCAAAAATGTGAGAGACCCCAGGGGAACGCCCCACGGCCTCTCCCTTTATTGGAATAAAGCCAGAAAGGACAGCTCTGTCTCCTTTTGTACATGAACCCCTGGTGTTTGTGGGCTGATTTCCCTGGCAAACACGTGTGCTCCATCAGCCACAGCTGTGTCAGGCTGAGCTCCAGCAGGGCAGCACCCAGGGCTGCTGATGCTGCGCAGCCGTGAGGGCTCCACAGAGCTCTGGGGCTGTTCGACACCATTTCCTCCCCTGGCTTTTTCCAGAGCACATCGTGCTGCATTTCAGCCCCGACACTCATCCCTTCTGAATTTCTACCCTGTGCTGTAATTCCTTGGATCACAGCAGAGAAATGTCAGTGCTTCTCCAGTTGTTCCTGCTATGAAAAACATCTTGCTGGAAACAGGATTTTTTTTTTTTTTTCCAGATAATCATTTTACAGAATGTGCTGTTGCCTCACTACAAACATCTGGGCAGGTCCCTCAGCCTCCACATCCTCCCCAGGCCTGGAGGAGACTCTGGGGGTTTCTGTGAATTCCTGTGCTCTGCACATGGTAACTCACTGAGCTGGTGAAGAGCAGAGCATCACCACTTTCTACATCTGTCAAAAAATGTCTCTCTGTCCCTGAAGCACTCCTGAATAACAACTGACCATTGCAATTTAGCGTGTATTTAAATTAAATAAAATTGTCCTCTTAGAGGACTTAATTCAGGCAAAATTTTGCTGATGAAGAAGAGCAATGAAATTTATTCAGTGTTCACAGAGGCTGTGCTGCAATTACAGCCAATCCCCCTGGCAGCGCCCAGCCTGCCCCCCCTGGCCCACGAATTAACCTGAATTAACCTGAATTAACAGGTTTTTATTGGCTCTGAGGTGAGTTCTGAGCCCCACAGCCCAGCTCTGCCAAGGGAAGCACTGACACAGCACTGACAGATATTCCCTGTACCCTTCCCTAATTAATTAATCAGTCCCCGTTTGGAATACCTCGTGTTTTAAAATGTGGATGGGAAATTGGGCTAAAAAGGAGGGTGCATCCTCCAAAAATGTGAGAGACCCCAGGGGATGCCCCACGGCCTCTCCTCTATTCAAATAAAGCCAAAAGGGCTCCTGTGTCTCCTTTTTGGACATAAACCTGTGGTGTTTGTGGATGAATTTTCCTGACACATTCATCCTTCCCCTCCTCGGGGCTCTGCTGCCTGGAGCAAAGAGAGATTCCTGACAAATGCAGCATTCCTATCTGTGCCCCAGAAAAGGGAAAACCACAGGTTCATGCAAGAGCTGCCAATGAATCACCACCTCTGCAGCAGGGGACAACCTGGGCAGGTACAGCAAGGTGCATTTGGAATTATCTACGCAAAACTCTCTCCTCACCAGTGCCCACCTCCGAGAGGCCTCTGGGGACATTTGGGGCTCTCTGTTTGGAAAATGTCAGCAAAACAGCACATTTCACTCCCGGGCCTCAGGGATCCTCCCTGCTGCTGCTCCAGCCTCACCAAAAGCCCAACAGAAAGAAGATAAACAGCTTGGAAATAGCTTTAAAAGGAAAATATGATAAAATATTCAGGAGAACATCTAAGAGATGTATTCTAGGAAATGCTTAAGAATTTAAATCTTTCCTTGCTGCTCCCATTCACGGCAGTAAGTGGGTCAGAGATGCTGCACTGCCTCCTCTCAGCCCCTCAGAGTCTGAGCTCCTCCATTCTGATACCAAACCATGAGAAACTGAGCTCCTGCATTCCACTGGCACCAAACCATCAGAGCCTGAGCTCCTCCATTCCACTGATACCAAACCATGAGAAACTGAGCTCCTCCATTCCACTGATATCAAACCATCAATCCTGAGCTCCTCCATTCCACTGGCACAAAACCATCAAAACCCCTCAGTTATCTCAGTGTGGACCAGGATCAAAAAGCAAAAACCACAAGGGAATTGTTGCTATTGAGCACCCCAGTGGGGAGGGAAAGCAGCACTTCACCCCAGCGTGCCGCAGGCTGCACAGCACACCAAAACACACACAAGGGCTCGAGCTGCCTGAGTTCCAGCCCTCAGCAGCCTTTGGCACTGAGGAGAAAGAAACCACAATGCTGGGGAAAACAGGAATGTGGCAGCCACAAATGGCAACTGAGCTGCTGCTAAAAACGCCCACAAAAATCACGGGAGAAGCACAAAGAAAGGATCCCAGGCACGGAAATCCTGCAGAGCCCAGAGCAGCAGCCCCGTGTCACTCACCAGGGTGTGGCTGAGCTGGATGGTGATGAGGGGAGAGCCCGACAGGTTGTAGGACAGCTGGGGCAGGGGCTCCACCTTGATGGAGATGAGCAAACTGCTGGCTGAGATCAGGGAGCCCCGGTGGGCAGCAGCTCCAGCAATCCTTGGGAAGGAGCAGACACGTTAGGGAACAAATAACCACTGGGGTTTAGTTCATATATAACAGCAGAGGGGCACAGACCCTCCTTGTTCCCCGAGTCCCTCCAGGGCAGCCAGGTCTGGCCCCAGAGGTCCCACAGGAGCAGAGGCTGTGCACTGTGAAGGATGGGGACACCTGTGAAGGATGGGGACACCTGTACAGGATGGGGACACCTGTACAGGATGGGGACACCTGTGAAGGACAGGGACACCTGTACAGGATGGGGACACCTGTACAGGATGGGGACACCTGTGAAGGATGGGGACACCTGTGAAGGATGGGGACACCTGTACAGGATGGGGACACCTGTACAGGATGGGGACACCTGTGAAGGACAGGGACACCTGTACAGGATGGGGACACCTGTACAGGATGGGGACACCTGTGAAGGATGGGGACACCTGTGAAGGACAGGGACACCTGTACAGGATGGGGACACCTGTACAGGATGGGGACACCTGTGAAGGACAGGGACACCTGTGAAGGATGGGGACACCTGTACAGGATGGGGACACCTGTGAAGGATGGGGACACCTGTACAGGATGGGGACACCTGTGAAGGACAGGGACACCTGTGAAGGATGGGGACACCTGTGAAGGACAGGGACACCTGTACAGGATGGGGACACCTGTGAAGGATGGGGACACCTGTGAAGGACAGGGACACCTGTGAAGGACAGGGACACCTGTACAGGATGGGGACACCTGTGAAGGATAGGGACACCTGTGAAGGATGGGGACACCTGTGAAGGATGGGGACACCTGTACAGGATGGGGACACCTGTGAAGGACAGGGACACCTGTGAAGGATGGGGACACCTGTGAAGGATGGGGACACCTGTACAGGATGGGGACACCTGTACAGGATGGGGACAGCTCTGACACCTGTAAAGGGTGGGGAACAGCTCTGCACACCTGTACAGGATTGGGGAACAGCTCTGGACACTGTAAAGGATGGGGACACCTGTAAAGGATGGGGAACAGCTCTGCACACCTGTACAGGATTGGGGAACAGCTCTGGACACTGTAAAGGATGGGGAACAGCTCTGGACACTGGGGACTGCCAGCAAAGCTCCTCCTTCACCCTGCTCCTCCTTGCAAAGGGTCTCAAGCCTTGCTGGAAGTGTTTCAGGGAACTAGGGAGAATCCCAAGGAGGGATCCAAACAATTCCCTGAAAGTGAGGAGGAAACTGGCAGGGGCTGGCTGGTCAAACAGATAAATCAGTGTGTGAGAGACACACAGACAAACTGCTCAAAATAAACACAGGAATGTATTTAGAGGTGATTTATAGCTCTACCTTGAAAAATAGATGATGTCCAGTTAGATTTGTTGGAGGGAAAGACAGGTCACAACACACACAGCTGAACTGGACTAAACAGCTGATTAGACTGGAAATGAATTTATTCTAGGGAGAAGTCATTTTGCAGTACATAAGAACCCTTATTTTAAGGTAAAACTTGTGAGTTTGGCATTTTCCACATTCTGGAGTAACTGAGATCCATTGGGTTCAGGGTAGATTTTTTACCCTCTCAGTACCAAACTGCAGGATTAAATAAATGACTGCTGTCATCTGTGCCTTGAGCAGTGGATTAATGGGTTTCACCAGGGAAATGTCAGCCTGGGTGAATTAACCACCAGCCTGGGTTCCCAAACACAGCCCACCTGGAGAGGGCCAGAAACAAATGAAAAACCACCTTGTTTGCACCCACCACCTGTCTGCAGTGGTTTCTTGTTTTTATTTCAGAAAAACCCCAAAACCCACACTGAAATAACTGCACTCAGCTCCTTGTCACAGAACAGAACTCATTTAGCACAACCCTTCAGTTCTGACCTTAAACACCCATCAGCACCAGAGATTACTTCTGCTCCCAGAAACCAGCAGGGAATGGGACTTGTTCATCTGAGGCAGAATTTGCTGCTCTGGTACCGCAAATTTCAGTTTAGGTAAGGACTTGTGCAGTGAAACTCATTATCCAGCAGTTTGGGGTTATTCCTACCCAGATTAGGAGCGTGGATGCTTTTCCCACACCCTTCCTCTGCTTGTTTTCCCTTCAGAGACCCTGGTGAATTTTGGAGTGTGACAAACCCTCACCAGAATTGGGGAATGGAGCTCCTGCACAGCCAGAATTGGGGAATGGAGCTCCTGCACAGCCAGAATTGGGGAATGGAGCTCCTGCAAAGCCTTTCCTCACCCTGGCCCTGGTGCCAGCCCCACGTTTACACAAACTGCCCTGAGCAGCAGCAGGATGGGCTCAAACATTGCTGGGTTTCGTCTTCTCTGGGTGAACAATCAAAAGCTGCTCCCCTCGGAAACTGGTATTTATGGAGCCTGAAAATAACTCTGTGTCTGCACAGCACAAAAGCTCCAAGAGTTTTGGTTTTGGTTTTCCACCACAAGAAAAGAAGAAGGTTGGGTTTCAAATTACAGGTGTGGAAGTAGCCCAGTGGTAGAAGGAACACAAAAGAAATTCTCTAAAACAAACTACTCTGAGAAAAAAAAAATTATTCTACTGAAAAGTAAGCAAAAAAGTTATAACAGTAGGTACAAAAAAGAAACGCAAGCAAAAGAGAAGTGCATACTTATTTTAAAACATCTTTGAGTACCTGGGGTTTGGCTCCACAGAGAAGAATAGCTAAGGCAGCATTCCCTGAATTATTGCCTTTTTGGATGCAGCATTCCCTGAATTATTGCCTTTTTGGATGCTGGTTTGGGCAGACCTGCATCTACAGGTTTAAGGACAAGATCTCATAGTGCATGACATACTGCAGACATCACGGTTTGAGTTAATTGTAGAAATGTAGGAAACATTTCTTTGCCAGCGATTTTGTATTTTTTACAATTGTGAACAGGGCAGACCCTTGATTCTCAGAATGAGTGCTGAAATCAAACCCAGCTCAGGGGAGCAGCAATGGATCTCCAGATTTCAGGGAATGCACTCCAAGATTACAGATCTGTTCCTTTTGTGCACCACAGCCCCAGGGTCTGACAGTGCTTTAAATACAGAGCTTTGACATGCAGCATCTTCAGTAAACTCTGACCTGAGCCAGGATCACTGCAATTCTCTTTGTCCCTTTGAAAAACTGAGATTACATCTTATTACCCTAACAAATTGCACTGATCTTCCTCTTTGGAAAACATAGGCTGCCATAAGTTATTGCCCCAATTTCTTGATGTGAGCACAAAACATTGCAGAGTGGAGGCAGAGCTGCCTTAGAGCCACCTGTGAGAGGGCAGGGCAGGGAACAGCACAGCCTGGGAGCCGCTCTGCTTTATCTTATCTAATAATGATCTCACTGGGGTACTACGCAAAGCACAAGGTCTGCAAAGAATTGCCTGGTCTTCTGTTATAGAATTACCTTATGGGTCTCTAGGATTAGGAGAAAAAAATGCTATTTCCTTGTAGGAGACAGGTTAAATTATGAAATTCTAGTACCACAGCTGATGAGTGGAAGGAGAAGACAAGGAAAGACAAATATGTCGCTATGGAATCTATTTTATTGCCACCTAAAATAAACCATGCAGTGCAAATTCAATCCCTGCCTGGTCAATGAGTGCACAGCCTCAGCCCTGCAGAGGCAGGGTTGTGGCTTGTCGTTTGTTCCCAGGTGATAAGGACAGGGCTGTGCCCAGGTGTCAGCACAGGCTGGTACCTGCTGCAGGTGTCACCCAGCAAGGAACAGGCTGGTACCTGCTGCAGGTGTCCCCAGGTATCCCCACAGCAAGGAACAGGCTGGCACCTGCTGCAGGTATGCCCAGGTATCATCCAGCAATGAACAGGCTGGCACCTGCTGCAGGTGTCACCCAGCAAGGAACAGGCTGGCACCTGCTGCAGGGCTCAGGCACTCACCTGGTGTCCTCGGGGTTGATGTTGTTAAAGAAGCGATGCATGCTGTGGTAGAGCAGGCCCACGATGGTGATGCAGCCTGTGGAGAGGGAACAGGGACAGGGAACAGGGTTAATTCCCCAGAACAGGGACAGGGAACAGGGTTATACCCCAGAACAAGGTTATTGCTCAGAACAGGGACAGGGAACAGGGTTATACCCCGGGACAGGGACAGGGAGCAGGGCTATACCCTATAACAGGGACAGGGAACAGGGTTATACCCCAGAACAAGGTTATTGCTCAGAACAGGGACAGGGAACAGGGTTATACCCCAGAACAGGGACAGGGAGCAGGGCTATACCCTATAACAGGGACAGGGAACAGGGTTATACCCCAGAACAGGGTTATACCCCAGAACAGGGACAGGGAACAGGGCTATACCCTATAACAGGGACAGGGAGCAGGGCTATACCCCAGAACAGGGTCATTGCTCAGAACAGGGACAGGGAACAGGGTTATACCCCAGAACAGGGAGAGGGAACAGGGTTATACCCTATAACAGGGACAGGGAGCAGGGTTATACCCCAGAACAGGGTTATACCCCAGAACAGGGACAGGGAACAGGGTTATACCCTATAACAGGGACAGGGAGCAGGGCTATACCCCAGAACAGGGTCATTGCTCAGAACAGGGAGAGGGAACAGGGTTACTGCAGCAGGAGAACCCTTCCAGGGCTGCAGCCCCTGTTCCCTGGGAGCCCAGCCTTGCCCAGCCTTGCCCAGCCCTGCCCTGTGACCGTGCTCACAGGGGTCTGAGGGTGAGGGAAGGGACGAGGATCTGACTCCGTGTTTCACAAGGTTTGATTTGTTATTTTATGATATATATTACATTAAAAGAAAGCATGACAACGGTCTGGAAAATCAAAGAAAACCCGTATGGTGAGGAGCTGCAGAAGTGGGAAAGGGAGAAACTCCCCTCACATGCTATTTTTGGCATTCCAAGTTGGTTTGCAATTACAGTTACTCAAACCTGGGAGGACTTGCAGTCTGCAGCCAGTGCAGAGAAACAAAGCTGCCACCCCCAATCAGGCAGACAGGTCAGTAATTAGCAGGGAATTCCTCACTGCAGGTTATTTTCAGCTAACTTTGCACTTCATGGAGCAGGGACCGACCACCCCTCTGCAGAGGTGGCTGCAGAAAAGCTCTGGGTGGGTGAATTCTGTGGGCTGGAATTTGGGGCACACAAGTCACATTTTCACAGATTTGAGAATGGAAGTAGATGGGTTCCTTCAACCTCTGAGTAAAGCACAGATAATTAACATTGCTATTTCAGAGTCTTGACTAAAGGTGCAGATTTTAGCCATGCTTCTTTTGGGGATTTTAAAATTTTTGCATAGGTATGGATTTCTGAGCTCTGCCTTTTTGCCATGAGTGTAGTCTGTATCTTCATTCTGTTCCTGTAGCTGCTATTGCTGAAACCTCTCATTTTACAGTTTAATTTTAGACAAAAGACCAATTTTGCATGAAGGGATAGGTAATACCTGACCTGACATCCTAGAATTTCTTAAAAATAACCAGTTCAGATAATTATAAAAGAATAATTACGAAATTATGGTTTCTCTGATGTAAAAATGTGTCAGAATTAAATGGCTTCGGTCTCTGTAGCTCAGCCCCATTATTCAATATTAATCCAATTAGTATGAAAACTGCACCACATTAATTGCTCGTTAGCCTGACAGGGCTGCTGCTGCTTCCTCAGCCTCGGTGCAATCCACAGGGATCAAATCAGTTACCTGGGAAAACAGAGCGAACCAAAAGCTGTCCTACAGCAAAGTCATTTTGGGCACCCTGTGCACACGGGTGCAGCTCTCTGTTTAATCTCCTCCTTACCTTTTCCATGGAAAGCCTCGCTGGGAATGGAGATGTAGCTCTGCCCCCGGGATGGGAACCGATAGTGGGACACGTTCAGGCTCTGAGGGAGCATTTTGACCACAGCATAATCTGTGGGGCAGCCAGACAGAAACATCAGCACAGCCCCTGCACCCCCTGCCTGCCTAACCTGCCCTCCCTGAGCTGCTGCAGCCGTTTCGATATTCCTGTATTAAACCCCAGAACAGGCTCAGAGCCCCCCAGGGCAGAGCTCAGAGCCCCCCCAGCAGCACTCCTGCCCCTGGGGCTGCTCAGGTTATTCAGCCCTCAGAGGAGGCTCAAAAGGCAGCGCAGGCAGCCAGAGCAGATTTAACTCCTCTGACACCTGCAGCATCCAAAGGTGCAGATCAAATTAAGGCGCCAAGATGCTAACCCGCAGTAAAATAAAATTCTCCAAAAAGGTCAAGACTATTCCTATCATTTTCAGTCTCTTGGAAAAGCACTGCAAAGATGAAGGTTTTGTAGCACCCAAAGCTCCAGGGGCTGCACATGAGCTCCAGGCCCTTTAACTCCATTAGCACAGCATTACTGAACCCTTCACACGTAACCCTGATTCTGAATCCTCCCCAAACAGCCCCGGGGAAGCCCAGGCACAGCCAGAGCCCATCGCCTCCAGTGACAAGTGAAACTCAGCTTGGCATTGCTCAGAGGGATGAGGAGCTGTGTGTGTGCTGGCAAGGAGGGCTCAGGCCCAGGGGTTCAGGAGAAGAGGAGTAGCAGTGCCAGCTGTGCCAGCTGTGCAGCCCCACCTGTGCCAGCCCTGCCAGCTGTGCCAGCCGTGCCAGCTGTGCAGCTGTGCCAGCCCCACCAGCTGTGCCAGCCCCACCTGTGCAGCTGTGCCAGCTGTGCAGCCCCACCTGTGCCAGCTGTGCCAGCCCCACCAGCTGTGCCAGCTGTGCCAGCCCCACCTGTGCCAGCCCCACCTGTGCCAGCTGTGCCAGCCCCACCAGCTGTGCCAGCTGTGCCAGCCCCACCAGCTGTGCCAGCCCCACCAGCTGTGCCAGCTGTGCAGCCCCACCTGCCACGGGCGAGGAGCCCTCGAGGGTCAGAGGCAGCGAGTTCCCCTCCAGGTGCAGGGACAGGTGAGCCAGCACCGTGTCGATGGTGTAGATCAGGCTGCTGAGCACGGCGGGGCTCTGCGGGGGGACGGACACACAGACACGGGTGAGCAGGGACAGACAGACGGACACGGGTCAGCAGGGACTGAGCCCAGCCCAGGGGCTCCCACCCTCCCTGGAGAAGGCGTCACCCAAACCGAGGCCACCCAGAGTGTAATTCCCAAAGCGTTCGTATGTCGCAGACATCTTTTATGGAAAATCCTTTCCTTAGGGTTTTCCCTCCTGAGAAGCTGAGAGGCCTCAGGAACAAAATGTAAACAATGGTTATCTGCTGCTGTGGAATGCAACAGGTGTATCTGGGATTGGTTGTTTGTAATTAATGGCCAATAACAGCCCAGCTGGCTTGGACAGAGAGCTGAGCAACAAACCTTTGTTACCATTCTTTCCTTTTCTGTTCTTAGCCAGCCTTCTGATGAAATCCTTCATTCTATTCTTTTAGTGTAGTTTTAATGTAATATATATCATAAAACAATAAATCGGCCTTGTGAAACATGGAGTCAGATCCTCATCTCTTCCCTCACCCTGGGACCCCTGTGAGCACGGGCACATTTGCAGAGCAGCCGAAGGAGAGCTGCCCCACAGCTCCACAGCCAGCTGCACTCAGCAGGATGGAGTGCAATTCCCAAAATGCTGTTTATGGAGCAGCCGAAGGAGAGCTGCCCCACAGCTCCACAGCCAGCTGCACTCAGCACTCAGCAGGATGAGGCCACAACTGGCCAGAATTGTTCCTGACAATATCTAAAGATTGGCACTGGGTCTTTCTCGGAGCACCAGCTGAGACGCTGCAGCTCAGCCTTTCTTTCATCTTTATTCAAATGCTCCTCAGCATAAAGGCAACTTTAACGCTCCAGGAAGAAACTTGATTCATGAAATCTCACCATTAATGCATGTTCCAGTGAAAAGGAAACCTGTTTTATCTGAAATCCATTTACACCAGAGATGAGCAAGGATCTGACACTAAGAACTTAAATCAATTAGACATCCTTTGGTCTCAAAAGCATTTTAGGCTTCAATGAGACCTCCCTGTGCTTTAGCTTCTCCTTCTCTCAGTTTAAAAGCTCTCTTTCCTGAAATCTGTGGGTTTTTAACATTCAAGCAAAAAACTCAGGAAATTTCTGGATTCACCCTGCAGGTCTTTCATCAGTGACAGATGATAAAATAAGTCATAGTGCCAAAAAGAGAAGTAATAGTGGCAATCATTTCAGTTGCCATCATGAGGATTTGTGCAGCTGAGGGGAATCACCAATCTGAGCCCGTTTCTCTTACCTCTGGTCCATCAATCCAGTCAGACAGCAACAGGAAGTCTTCAATAGCTTTCAAAAACGCCTGAAAGACAAACAAAACTCGATTACTTATTGACCAGCTACATCTCCTGGCAGGGCAGATCTCTGCCAGGATTTTCTCAGGTCCATGTTAGGATGCCAAGCCCACTCCCATTGCAGCGTGGTTGGCCATTAATCACAAACAACCCCATGAGACCAATCACAGATGCACCTGTTGCATCCCACAGCAGCAGATAACCATTGTTTGCATTTGGTCTCTGAGGCTTCACAGCTTGTCAGGAAGAAAAAATGCCAAGAAAAAGATTTTCATGAAAAGATGTCTGCGACACAGTCCTGCTGGCATGCAAGGGGAAAAGGGAGCACAGAAACTGCACAGAAAATCAAAAAGGAAAACCCACATTTCCAGCTCAAACTCATCCATTCAAAAGCCTTCACAGAATGATAATAGTCATTCCACACGGTGAGATGTGGAAGACACCACACAACAAACCCAAGTCAGACTTGTCAGAAGCGATTCATTATAACGTGTGTCAGTAATCAGAGAGTTTATTGCACGTCACTTAAATCAAATTTCCTGGCGCTGTGAGGCGTGCACGATCAGGCAGAGATAACTGCACAGAAAACCTCGGCGCCTGTCTCTCAGAATTAGCTGCAGACAATGCAGAGCCCCACATCAATCAGGCAAATGACGGGCTGCTCTGTATGATCAGACTCTCGTATTTGCGTCCCAAAATAGCTCTGCTGAGGATAATCACGGCCCAATTTCTGCCTGCAAATGGCTGTGGTGGCGCCCAGAGCAGCGCCAGCAGGGACTGCAGTGATGGGGAGCAGGCACGGGCAGGATGCTGCTCCCTCTGCAGCCAGAGCACACGGAAATATCCCGGGAAAACAAAGGAAACAACGAATTAGGGCTTTTCAGAAGGGCTTTTGCTGCTGCATATTACACTGTGATCCGTGAAATCCAAGCTTTAGAGTTTGCAAATGCTAAGCTTTCCACGCAGTCTCTCAGTCGCTGTCGCTGTGGTTTGCAGAGGGTTTATTTGTATTTTTTGTCTGAATAAAGCGCCCTTGTCACTCTGGAATTACCCTCGGGCTCAGGGGAACAATCAGCAGCGGGGCCAGAGCTGATCTCTGCAATAATGGCTTGGCTGAAATCAGGGAATTAGACGCCCATCGCTTTCCAGCACTGTTATAACTTTATGTTAGTTATGTTATAACTGTATGTTAGTGCCCATGGCTTTCCTGCACTCTGTTATAACTTTATGTTAGTCATGCTATAACTTTATGTTAGTTATGTTATAACTTTATGTTAGTTATGTTATACCTTTATGTTAGTGGCACACGGCCCCTGTTCTCAGCTCACCCTGCAGAAAACACCTGCTTGCTTTTTCCCATCTGTGCATTGGCTTGGACAAAACAAATTCCTTCAGCCCATTTCAGAGGGGACAGCGACTCCACCATCTCCCTGGGCAGGCTGCCCCAGTGCTTGAAGCCCTTTCAGGGAAGGATTTTACCCTAAAATCCAGCTGAAATCTCCCCTGGCACCACCTGAGGCCGTTTCCTCTTGTCCTTGTCGTTTGGGAGAGGAGACCCAGCCCCTCGGCGCCTTCCTTGCTCAGGATGGGTGCAGAGGCATAAAGCGACATCTCCAGGGAGATTTCAGACGTTTGGAGAGACGTTTCAGCTCTGCCCAACTCCTGCTGCTCCCTAAAGAGCCACAGCTCTTTCACAGGGGGTGTCTGCAGGGAGCAGAGGCTTCCCAAGCTGCCCTGGGCATGCCAGGCTCACCTGGGGCTCACCTGGGCCCCACTCACCTGTGCCAGGCTCAGGGCCGTGTGCTGCGCCAGGGCGTGGCTGGGCAGGCTGCAGGACACGTTCTGCAGGTGCCCCAGCAGGGACAGGGCCGAGGGGGAGCTGCCCCTGTGCCGGCTCAGCGCCGCCAGGACCGGCTGGTACGCGTCCGTGGGGAGCTGCAAGGGACAGAAACCGGCACAGGAGAGACCAGGTTACCCATACTGCATCCCAGCAGGGCAGAGAACGGCACAGGAGAGACCAGGTTACCCATACTGCATCCCAGCAGGGCAGAGAACGGCACAGGAGAGACCAGGTTACCCATACTGCCCTCAACAGACATACAACATACACCAAATTATCTGTGCTGCCCTCAGCAGGGCCAGAAATCAGCACAGAATATCCCAGATTATCTGCACGGGCCCAAGGAGGGAAGGAAAAGGAACATTATCAAAATTTTAGCCTCTTGTATTTTCAAAGTTAATAGCAATACTTCATAAGTTGCTACTTTTTTTCATTATTTAATATAGTAAATATTTCATTTAACAGGGAACTTCCTTTGTGTTCCCACCTTCCCACAGCGGCCAAAACTTCTGCCCATGCATGTCCAAAAGCATTTATAATTGAGGCATGAAAGTAAGTGCCATTAAGAGAAATCAGGCAGGGAGGAGGGTGTGTAACTCTGATTTATGCACGTTCTGCCTTTATGGAAAAGAGTCTGAGCTCTGTCCTACCACAGGGCTTGTCGTGGTTGTCATCACAGACCAGGGCAGCGTTGAGGAGAGCAGGACTTGCACACCTGGGGAAATGCAAACACAAATGAGGCCGTTACAAATCTGGATTTCTTATATCGGATACATAATTTTATATATAAATTCCCACCTCAGGCTGGATCAGTTCCAACTGAAAGCAGCAGATTTGCTGTTCTGTGGATTTTATTTATTTCCAGTACTGTAGCCACACAGCCTTGTGATAGAGAAATCAAATTTTCTTCTAATCTGCATCTGAGCAAGAGTTATTATTTGCCAGGGGTGTGGAATCTCAATCCAACACTAGCTGCATGCACAGGACCCATTTCTCAGATCCAAAAGGAACATGAACATTCACTCAATTAAAAACCAGACTATTCTATTTGCTTATGTCAAACCACATTACCCTGCTTCAACCCTGCTAGAAATCCCCCAAAATCAATAAATAGATATCATAGCCTTTCTACTTATGTTCATTACTATTGTAATACCCATTGCTTCCTCTGAGAATATTCTAATTTCATACATTAAGTGGGAAATTTTATAAAATCCAATCAGTCTATTATTTTAAAGAGAAAAGCCAAAAATTAAATTGCCACATTTCCCAAGTGCTCCAAAACACCTGATCACATTAAAGCAATGTTGGCTTGGAGTTCTTCTGTCTAATTAAAAAAAATACATACCTGGCATCCCTTTACATTTGAATTCCTAAGCCCCTGGAAAATACACATCCAGCTTCACTTTCAATTAAGAGGCATACATTTATTTTTCACAGCATTCTGATAGTTCCACATGACACTAAAAAACTTGTGGAACCAGGAGTTTAGGAGAAAACCCCATCAACAGAGCAATTAATGCCATGGAAATTGCAGTAAAGTCACAGGTGCTCACGGCATGAGCATCTCAAGGCACAAATCAAGGAGTTTGGGATGCAGCCTCCCGAAAACCAGCAGGGATTAAGGGTGGGATGCAGGCAGAATTCTGCACAGCTCTGGAAAAATCTGGAATTGGCAGAATGGGAGGGCCAGGAGGGTTTCAGAAGGGAGCTCCAGCACTGATGTGCAGAATCAGATTTGGGGCCCAGAGACCCCTCAGCACAGCCCAGAGGGAAGGACAGGGAGCAGGATCTGATTCCCCGGGAGGACCTTCCCAGTCCGTCAGAGGGCAGTGCTGGGCGCACAGGGGTTAAAAAGGGGTTAAAAAGGGGTCTCCCTGTGTTTATTTAAGCCATCCCTCCCTGGCAGTGGGACAGGGCACACATATTGATGAATGGGGGCAATGTGAAAAGCTGCTGCTCTGGGGTTTGGCAGCAGAACATTTCTGTGGAGCTGCATTAATCACAGAGGATGAATAATGGCAGCTGGAGTGGACGGTGTTATAGTAACCCTCCACTGTTGTCAAAGACACAGCAGCCAAATGCAAAAGCATTTTTTCCACCATGAGCAGAGCATAATAAACCTTTTAAAGATTGAAAACTATGAAAAGTGAGCAGCCTTTTTTGACAGGTGCCCTGCCCCAGCCCCACTCACCCACGGCGGCAGTGAAGCACTGGTGCACCTCGTGCAATCTGATCTTTGCTTGTGCCCATTTTATGATTGTATTTTAATACTGAATAAATTCTCCTTGTTAATCAAATTGGCTAATTCATTTATAACACAAACTATGAAAAGTGAGCAGCTGTTTCTCACAGGTGTCCTGCCCACCCAGCTCTGCCCAGCCTGGCCCCACTCACCCACGGCGGCAGTGAAGCACTGGCGCGCCGTGCGCAGGCTCGGCGCCGAGCTGATCTTTGGCCTTTTTGCAATTGTATTTTAATACTGAATAAATTCTCTTTATTAACCGAATTGGTTAATTAATTTATAACACAAACTGTGAAAAGCGAGCAGCCGTTTCTCACAGCCCTGCCCCAGCCGCACTCACCCACGGCGGCAGTGAAGTACTGGCGCACCTCGCGCGGGCTCAGCGCCCTCTCCCAGATCACAAACTCGTCGAAGGCGCCGCTGACCGAGCGCGGGGCCGCTCCCTCCGCGCCCAGCAGGTCAGGGCTGGCGTCCCCATAGTCGTAGAACACCTTCCCCTCGGGGTCCGTGGTGCTCAGCGAGCCGTTCACGTACACCTTCAGGCCTTCCCTCGAGCGCCAGGTGAACAGCACGTGCGTCCAGTAGGGACCTGCAAGGGAGAGGCTCAGCAGGGCTGGGGCAGCTCCAGAGCCCCCAAAACGGGGTCCAGTGGGGACCTGCAAGGGAGAGGCTCAGCAGGGCTGGGGCAGCTCCAGAGCCCCCAAAACGGGGTCCAGTGGGGACCCGCAAGGCAGCAGAGGCTCAGTGGGAATGGGGGCAGCTCCATCCAGAGCTCCCTGTTGGACTCTCCCTGCCATGGAGCTGCCAGCAGGGCCATGGTGAGCCATGCAATGCTGGTGCTGTGCCCATGAATCCTCACCCCCCTGGGGAAGCCCATGCCTGGCAGGATGCCCCCAGCCCTGCCTGAGCCCGGGCTCGCTGCAGCTCCATAAATTCCCCCGCTCAGTGCTGCTGGCCAAGATCACTCTTCACTCCTGCCTCAAACCCAGCCCAGAGAGAGCAGCACAAGGACTCCAGGAGAACAAGCACATAAACCACTCTGAAGTTCTCACCGTTCCCTTGATATGCTTGAGAGCCAGAAAACACAATACTCATTTTCACTTGGACTGGATAATCCACAAACGTGTGAATTATTCTTGCCATTTGCAGCTTTTCTCTTAAAAGAAGATTTCTGAACTGATTCATTAAGGTTTATGAAACTGCTACCGTGAGTCCAATTTTAACAATGTACAGGCAGCCAAATTAGGGCCAGAAAATATTTATGGAATGCCATTAGCATTACTGGAAGACCAGCATTTGTTCCAGTCAGTAGATATTAGTGCTCCCCAGCAAGGCACAGTTTAGACAGAGCAGTGAGATATGTGATATACCAGAATGTTTATTAATGCTATGGCCTGGCACAGGAAACATGGCACTCAACAGAAGCAGCATCATGAAGGCACCAAAGAGCAGTCAGAGAGTTTCCAAATAAAGGCTGAACTCAGCAGAGAGCAGCCCTGGGGTGCCACGGGGTGAACCTGCATTCTCTGCTCCTGCTCCCACCCAGACATGCAGGAAGCACGGGAGTCAATGAGGACTCACTCCAGACACCCCTGCAGGCTGGCCCAGGGCTGCTGGCCATGGCAAGTGTTCTATTGCACATCTCTGCTTTCCTTTTGCACCTCACCCCTCCCTCCCCACGCCAGGAGAGCTCTCCAGCCCAGAGGTGTCTGCAGCTGGAGCTATATCCCCAAAAGCTGCAGCTTTTGTATATCCCCTTCTCTTTCCTTGAGTTGTGCTCTTCTCACCACCTCTGTTGTCACAGACATCTTTTCATTAAAAATCCTTTCTTAGGATTTTTCCTCCTGAGGAGGTGAGAGGATTCAGGAACAAAATGTAAACAACGGTTATCCGCTGCTGTGGAATGCAACAGGTGCATCTGGGATTGGCCCATGTTGGATGTTTGCAATTAATGGCCAACCACAGCCCAATTGGCTTGGACTCTCTGTCCAAGACACAGACCTTTATTATTCATTCCTTTCTATTCTTAGCTTAGCTAGCCTTCTGAGATGAAACTTTTCCTTCTATTCTTTTTAGTATAGTTTTAATGTAATGTACATCATAAAATAATAAATCAAGCCTTCTGAACATGGAGTCAACACTCTCATCTCTTCCCTCACCTGAAAACCCCTGTGGACACGGTCACATCTGTCTGCAGGAATAAAGCAAAATGCTGCAAAGAAATCGTTCTTTTTTTAAATGTAGAGACTTTACCCGGCGGGCTGAAGCTCGCTTTCCACCTCATCATGGCGCTGCCCCGGGTGTAGAATTCCACGGAGCCCTCGCCCTCGCTGGAGCAGATCTTGAAGCCGCTGGAGATCACTCGGCCCCCAGAGGCAGGGAGAAGCTTGGCCTGCTGGTCCTGGGTCTTCCAGAAGAAGGAGAACGTCACCCCTGAAGGGAGGGAGAGCAGAATGAATGAGAAAACCGAGCGCAATTGAAGATCTCCAGCGTGCAGAGCACAGGCGGTGGGAATGCCTCTGAGCTCAGGTCATCTGCTGGCACCAACCAGGACAGCCTTTTTAAAATCAACAGAGCTCCAGCTCCAATTTAACTTGCAGCTGGAAAAAACTAAAGTTTCAGCAATCAGCACTCAATTGTCTCAGAAGTCAGCAAAGTGTCAAGCCTCGTTTTTAGATTTCATTCCAAGGAGGAAAGAAAAAACGACTATTGAATAACATAGTTTGGCAGCAAAAGTCAATCACAATGAATGGGTTTCTCACCTTCAGGCCCACACGCCTCTGGATTACTGATGCAGGAATTTCTGTAGCTCCCAAAGAAGAGAAAGGTGACTCCTTTCTTTTCAGTCACGTAAATCCCTTTGTTCACCATCCCTTCTACAATATCTAGAGCAAAACCAAATCCAGTTTAACATTCACACAAAGGAAAGCTTCAAACTTCCTGGAAATGTGATTTTAACAGCTGGCTATAGCTCAGATGTTTATCTAGGTCCAACTGTAGGGCTTTTCTGTGTTGTTTTCCTTTTTGGTGTTTTGTGTTCCAGTTTTGTGCGTTCAGTTTCTTTGCTTGTTTCCATTGTTGTATTTTTAAAGACCGCACAGACATCTCTTTCGTTTCAAGTTTGTACATATTGCACTCATACCCACTCAGCTCCGTGGTTAACTAAGACTGACAGAACCCATACACCCAAAAATAATTATTTTAGAGTAATCTGAGTAAACTTTCTGCTTTGCACAGTTTGGAATGCCAGGCCCTTCCTAGAGGTGTCTTACCATGTTAGGCTGAGCCAGTAAAGAAATTCTTTCACCAATTAAAAGGTAACAAAACAGTGTTTCTTTTTTCAGTTTTTGAAAGGGCAAGCTGGTGATCAATCTCGTTTTCAATGGGAAATACCTCAATGAAAGATCCCTGACAAAGTGCACTCAAAGACAGAAACGGATCTCAGACATGCTCTGCTGGGGTGCGCTTGGCCCTTGGAAAGGCAATTGCTTCACCCAATGTGGATAACGAGTAATTTACCCAATGGGGACAATGACTATTTACCCAATGGGGATAATGAGTAATTTGTTTGTGATTTCCCGGTGCTCCCTCGCACAGAACAGCGCTGGTGCTCCTCTCCCACCCTGAGCACAGGGACGCTCTCAGCACAGAGCCTGGGGCTGCTTTGCTGCATTGTGAACCCCTCAGGGTCTGAGTGCAGCTCGCAGAAAACGATGGGGAGCTTTCCTGTTTGTCCCGGCTGATTTTACAATGCAGACAATGGGAAACCACAACCAAAAACCCCAACCAAAGCTCCTGCTGGGCTGAGATGCCTGCAGGGAGCAGAGAATGTTGGATTGCTGTTTCTGAGGAAGCTCCAGCATGAGACACATTTTCCTTTCCTCAATGAATGCAGCGAATGCATGTTTCAATGCACCGAATTTCATGTTTCACATTGAAACATAAATAAGGATAATAAATTATCCTTATTTAAATACCAGTTTTCAGGTATTTTCCCCTCTTCTTTGAGGAAGAAGCCATCAAGCCCCACCTCTAACTGACAGATAAAATTTAGTTCCTTTTTAAAATGTGAGTGTGTACTATGGGGTAAATCAAGCATTCCCAAGCTCTTCTCAAGGCACCTGAATTATAAATTCCCTCTGCAGGAAGCTCCCATAAGGTGACACATTTCTGTTCCCCCAGCCCTTCCTTTGCCAGGGGTGTCTCTCTAATGCTCAAATTAAACACACTTTATTATGTGAGAACTGTGCAAATGGTCTATAAAGCAGATAAGAGAGGGCTGGAAGGAATTAGGGTCATTTGGAGTTCACCATTAATAGAGTTCCCACTTGCCAGCACACTTTTACTGTTAGAGAGTAAAACACACTGGGTTTAGTACTGCAATGTAGAAGTGTCCCTATCTGAGCAGCCCAATGACAGCTTTGCCATCTCCATCCTCGTCCCCAGGTCGGGTTTGTGACACCTTGATGTGAGCTATACCCGAGGCACAGCGGGCACCAGGTCACACCTCCATCGCAGCCACACAGCGCAAATGCAATTACTGAAATTAAGGGACTTTGAGCTGCTGCAGCTGCTTCCCAGCCTGCCAGGATCCTGCCTGGAATTGGCAGTTTCTGTGTGTGGGTGTTAAAAAAATTGATATAATAATTAATTTTTATACATATATAAATATTTGCTTCTCATTAAAAAAAACAAACAAACAAAAAACCAAAATAAACTATCATGTTAATCAAAGTTGTCATGACTGACAACACCCCACTCAATCTGCTTGCATTTGTCTTTCTTAATATGTCCTCTAAAACCATTATAAACCAGTGAAAACCAGAGGGCTTTTTTTCCATTTCAGCCTTGAAAGACAAGAAAAAAATTAACCTGCTTACTCTCACATGTTCCTCTGAAATGTCGCCTCTGTTTCTTTTAAGCACAATATTAATTTCTTTAGGTTTTGGAGGATCCCTGGGGCCCTTCCTCTCATGGGATTCACGTGGGGATGCCTCTCCCAGAATCCCAGCAATGCAGGTAACACTGCAGGGCTGCTTTTCCAGCAGTGTGTGACAGCGAAGAAATAATAATAATAATAATAATAATAATAATAATAATAATAATAATAATAATAAATAATAATAGTAAATAATAATAGTAAATAATAATAGTAAATAATAACACTAATAATAACAATAATAATAACAATAATAATGATACCACCCATTTACCACACGACCACTTGAACCCGAACCCAGAGTTCACTCTGAATCCGGGGTTACAAGAACCATCCACGCCTGAGCAATGCAGAACAAAAAACCAGAGATTCCTCACCTACAGTTGCAGAGGAGTTAGAGTAGGCAGAGTCATTGGTATTTACAAAGGTAGAGTTATGGGGAGGAAGCACAGTGAAGTTGTGGATTCTTAGAGCTGGGTGGAACAACAAAAGAAAACAGGCAAATGAGCAAACAATGAATAAACACCGTCAGCAATGAATGGCCAGTTCATATCTCTCACACAGCACAAATCTCAGATCTGCCGACTGAAACCCGCCCCGGCTCCACCTGCTCAGGGAAGGCAGAGCCACTGCAGGAAGGTTCCCCTCAGGTGCTGAGCACAAAAATCTGCAAAATCCCGGCTGGAAATGGAAAAATGGGCCAGGCTCTGCTCATTTGTGCCCACAGAGCAGATCAGAGCAACGGACACAAACCAAAATACGAGAAACTCCAGCCAAATATCAGAAAATATCCAACTTTTTTATGTCTGGCCATAAGGTTTTATGCTCTGGTTTTTTTTTCTCTGATTTTGAAAATTTAACAGTGTCTTGCACACTGTAATTGTTTACCCTGGGCAGGCAAATAAAGCCTGATGAAAAGCCCATGAAAGTAGATGGAGAGACATCGATTTGGCATTTAGACCAACTGAGCTCGCAGAACAAAAAGACAAATGCTCTTAGGAAAAGAAAAACACACACAAAACCCTCCAGATAAAAATGCATTAAAATCGAGGGGCCAGATGAAAAACCTGAGCGCGGCCACTTTCTTTTTATTTGCTATATTTTGAGCTGATTGTTTCCTTTCAATTGCTGCTAGTGCTGAGATTTCCAAAGCATTAATTTGCTGCCACACTCTCAGCACACGAATGCTTTGAGAGATATAAATCTGGCTCCACACACAATGACTTCAACAAATAAAATGGATTAACGTGACAGACAGATCATGGTGCTTCAAGGATTTAAGAGGAGAAACATGGAATGAAAATAATTGCATGATATGATGAGTGGAAAAACAAGGCAGACTCTGCAATAAACAGAAGAGTTGTGTAATCAGAATGGAGCCCGCACCAAGCTAATTGTCACCTGGAGTAGCTCGCAGCAATAAAGAACACTTTTCTTGTATATCAAAGTGAAATATCAGCTAGATAAAACCCCCGCTGGAGGCAGCTGAAATGATATCTGTGTGTGATAAGGTGCAATGCAAACAAGTGGGAGGAACCTGAGCACCCAGGGCAGCGCTGCAGGGAATGCAGCACTGCAGAGACCAACACCTCTGGCCATGGGGTCCCCTGCAAGGAACTGCAGGACAAAATCCACCCCATGTGTTCAGCAAAGTGCTGCAGCTGGCTCGTTTATAAATTCCTTTGTCACCATGTTGCAATAGGAATCCAAGGAGATTGCTCCTGCGAGCACCAGGAACTTCATCTCTTCTGCTTTCTGTCTTCCAAGGCACTGAAATATTCCTGAATTTTGCTGGAGTAAAACTAAACTAAATTCGAGAAACAATCTAACATCAATTGTCCTTTTCCAAGAGCTGTATTTTATATATATATAATTTTCAAAACAGCTTGGTTGTACTGTGATTGCCAAGACAGTGCTAGATATGGAGCTCCTCATTCTTTTTGAAACCACGTGGAGTCCAGGGTCAGAAAATTACTTTAACACACTTCTAGAGAACATATGTGGCAACTTCTGTAAGCCAAATTATCATTCTCTTGCAGTCAGTAGGAGTGGTGCCATCAGCTCCTAATGGAAGCAGAACATTGCCCAGATCTATTTCTGGTCAGGCAATTCCATTCCTTCAGAAACGTTGTGGAAAGAGGTCAAAGTTTGGGCTGAGAACACTTGAACACCTCTCCAGGGAAGGGGTTTGGATAGTCACGGATCACAGACTGACATTGCCATTTGTGGTGGAAGTTTGGGGGACACTGGGGGGCTCTGGGGAGGCCCAGCAGCACATCTGGGGACGCCCAGCAGCACATCTGGGGCTGGCCACGGTGTCAGTGGGGCAGAACCAGCTCTGGGGACCCTGAAACTGAGAGGAGCAGAGCTCAGCTCAGTCCTGGGGATGGAGGGACACCCCCACAGCTCTGGGGACGCCCAGGGCAGTGCCTCCCACCCAGAGAGCAGCAGTGCCATTCCCTCTGGGTCCCCACCCTGGCTCATCAGGGACGGCTTGGCCTCAGCAAATCTCTCCCGATTTCGCCCAGCTGGGAAAAGAATTTAACGTCTATCAGCTCACGCTGCAATAATGAGGCTCCCAAAGGCAGATAGGACAGTGTGGGCTCCCATCAGACACCTCTCACTCATTTCTTTGCGTAGAGCTACATGAACGTTCATTGAACTGCCCCCCAACCAAAGCAGAGCCCCCTCCGTGCCCTGCTGGCACGGCCAGGGACCCCCGAGCGCCCTGGGGCCTGCACCAAACCAGCCAGTAACAGCGTGATCCCAATGGCTCCGCGCATCATTAACTCCTCTCTTTATTACCTCAGCCACGCACACCCAGCCCATAAAACCCCGGAGAACACTCCATAAAAACCAGAGATCACAAACACAGCGTCGTTTGGGCATCGGAGCCCTGCAAACACATTAACTGGGGAAAACCCCGAGCTCTGAGCCACAGAACTGATCCCCTGTGCTGTGTCCTGCAGGCACACAGAGCCGATCCCCCTGTGCCACGTCCTGCTGCCCTCCCACAGGCACAGAGCTGATCCCTGTGCCATCTCCCACAGGCACACAGAGCCGATCCCCTGTGCCATCTCCCACAGGCACACAGAGCCGATCCCTGTGCCATCTCCCACAGGCACACAGAGCTGATCCCCCTGTGCCATCTCCCGCAGGCACAGAGCTGATCCCTGTGCCATCTCCCACAGGCACAGAGCTGATCCCTGTGCCATCTCCCACAGGCACACAGAGCCGATCCCTGTGCCATCTCCCACAGGCACACAGAGCTGATCCCTGCGCCATCTCCCACAGGCACACAGAGCTGATCCCTGTGCCATCTCCCACAGGCACACAGAGCCGATCCCTGTGCCATCTCCCGCAGGCACACAGATCTGATCCCTGTGCCATCTCCCACAGGCACAGAGCTGATCCCTGTGCCATCTCCCGCAGGCACACAGAGCTGATCCCTGTGCCATCTCCCGCAGGCACACAGAACTGATCCCTGTGCCATCTCCCGCAGGCACACAGAACTGATCCCTGTGCCATCTCCCGCAGGCACACAGAGCTGATCCCTGTGCCATCTCCCGCAGGCACAGAACTGATCCCTGTGCCATCTCCCGCAGGCACACAGAACTGATCCCTGTGCCATCTCCCGCAGGCACAGAGCTGATCCCTGTGCCATCTCCCACAGGCACACAGAACTGATCCCTGTGCCATCTCCCACAGGCACACAGAGCTGATCCCCCTGTGCCATCTCCCACAGGCACACAGAGCTGATCCCCCTGTGCCATCTCCCACAGGCACACAGAGCTGATCCCCCTGTGCCATCTCCCACAGGCACACAGAGCTGATCCCCCTGTGCCATCTCCCACAGGCACACAGAACTGATCCCCCTGTGCCATCTCCCACAGGCACACAGAACTGATCCCTGCGCCATCTCCCAAAGGCACACAGAGCTGATCCCCCTGTGCCACGTCCTGCTGCCCTCCCACAGGCACAGAGCTGATCCCTGTGCCATCTCCCACAGGCACACAGAGCTGATCCCTGTGCCATCTCCCGCAGGCACACAGAGCTGATCCCTGTGCCATCTCCCACAGGCACAGAGCTGATCCCTGCGCCATCTCCCACAGGCACACAGAGCCGATCCCCTGCGCCATCTCCCACAGGCACAGAGCTGATCCCCCTGTGCCATCTCCCAAAGGCACACAGAGCCGATCCCCTGTGCCATCTCCCACAGGCACACAGAGCTGATCCCTGTGCCATCTCCCACAGGCACACAGAGCCGATCCCTGTGCCATCTCCCACAGGCACACAGAGCTGATCCCTGTGCCATCTCCCGCAGGCACAGAACCGATCCCTGTGCCATCTCCCACAGGCACACAGAGCTGATCCCTGTGCCATCTCCCGCAGGCACACAGAGCCGATCCCCCTTTGCCGTGCCAGGGCAGCCTCGGTACCTCCGTTGGTGTCGCGGAACTCCCGGATCCCATCCACATCTTCCAGGGGCCAGTAGTGGGAGGCTGATGCCAGCACTTTGAACCCTTCCAAGAAACACAGGTCAGGAGATTATTAAATTAAAAGAGCAGCGAGGTGCGTAACGAGTCTCCACAGAAAATAACCATAAAAGAGGTCGGAAGGTTAAGTAAACCAAAATATTTTATGTAAATCAAGCGTGGCACACAAGCGAGGCCATAAATCAGAGCAGCAGAGTAGATTAAAGCCTTATCACTGATTAGCCACTGCAGAAAACCTGCTTCTGAATCCCAGCTGATTCTCCTTCTAATTGCACCTAAAAGGGGTCACAGTCTCTGACTGAACCTCTGCTGGTGAATGCAGCATCCACTGAGATAATTCCAGATTTTCCTGAAGTTTGGAGCAGCAGGGACAGCCCAGAGCCCTGGGAGCTGCGTCCTTGGCCTCTGTGGCTCATCCCACACCTTTCCTCACCTTGCAGACCAAACCCTTTGGCCTGTTTGATGTTTGCTCTGTCCTTGTCCTGCCCTGGATACACCAGAGTTTGGTATCATGGATATTAAAATTTCAATCAAGTGCCTGATGCCCCCCTGTAGAGCCCTTTGACGGTCTCCATCCTCATGGCGCAGTTTCTGAGGTGACGAATCCTAAGATTTATTTTTTTATTTTGAGTGCAAAGTTGATAAAATTGCTAAACTTCACAAGAGGCAATTGCAGGTCTGAGCAAACAGGACTCCGAGTTCTGCATCTTGTGAGGGTACGAGAACTGCTCAGACTGGCTCCCAAAGCCAGCCACACCAGAGATATCTAACAAATGATTCATAACTGAGTTCATTAATCCAGGCTCTATTCTTAGCCCACCTAACTCAGTGTTTGCCGTCGCCATAGAGGCTTTCCCTCGGGAGGGGAGCAGAGCACAGACAAGACGTCCCATGGGATGGAAATGGGAGGGAAAAGGGGTTCTGTGGATCTCCATCCCCTCTGGGGGCCCGGGGGGCAGAGAAGGGCACAGCTGGCACTGAGAGGAGAGGGCACTGCAGCCTTGGAGCACAGAAACCCGCACAAAACAAAATCTGAAAATTCCAGGCAACCCCAACTCACCTGAGGCCTCTGGATCAAGCACCTGTTTGTCCTGAATGTAAAATCCTTTCAGAGGCAGTGACACCGACCAGGAGAGACCCCAGGGCTGGTTCCAAACCCAGCACCATCCCTGCAGCAAAGCCCGCACCCCAAACCCTGCACCCATTCCTGCAGCAAAGCCTGCACCCATCCCTGCACCCATCCCTGCACCCCAAAGCCAGCACCCCAAAGCCAGCCCGTGGCGCCCCCCACCCGGGGCAGCAGCGTTTCCCCTTTGTTCCACCAGCCAGAGGCCACAGACGCTCGTTTTTAGGAAATGGGACTCTCTTTTTTCGGTGCAGCAGAAGCCATTAATTACTGCCCCAACAGACGCGGCCTCTCCCCACCGCTCTGCCTTTCACTCGAGAGTAATTACATGTGGTCACAGCCGAAAAAGGCACCCCAGGGGCTGGCAAAGCAGTAAAGCTGTACTTGCACACCACCACGAGGCTTGAGGTTAAACTATTTATATAAACGGAGGAATTCTGCAGTTGCACACACAAACCCTTCCGAGCTCTCAGGGAGTTTTTCACATTGGAAACAGATGAGAAATCCTTAATCTGCTCTGTGACTGATTTAAACCCGAGTGCGAGGCTGGGAGGAGGGGAGAGGAGCTGAAGCTGTGCCAGGGAACAGCAAAGTGAACAAACTGGCACATCCAAGTGTTCAGCACTGAACCAAAAACGCTGAACATGGGGGGAAAGGAAAACATTCTGTGCAGAGATCTGACTCGGAAACTCACACTCAGGAAAGTGAGGATAGGATTTCCCACGTATCAAATAGAAGGCATTTTTCTCCAAACGTGTTTGCGTCCAGAATATTCCGTGGGTGGGGTGCTGAATTCAAAACGCCTGGGACAGCCTGACACTTTGGATATCGCATTTTTAATACAAGCTGGCACTCAAACAAGGGCTCAGCTTCTTTGGGGTACTAAGGGAATAAAAAAACCCCCACAAACTGCAAAAAAAGCCAATAAATACTCAAGCACGTTTTCAGAAAATGGAAGCAGAGCGTTCCTTACCTGGGTGTTTGGGGAGCTGGGAATGGTTCCCGTACACCTGCACAGAAAACAGCGCACAGTGAGACACGGGCGGGCAGAACCGCTGCGAGGAGCCCAAACACCCCTCGGCACTGCGGGGGTTCACAGCATTACCTGGTATTTCTGCTGAAATAAAATCAGCAAGGAATAATGGCAACAGAGCAGCGGTAACAAACTCTCCATGGTCTGTGCAAGGCTAAAAGTAGAGCTGAACTCAAACTCCTGCAAGGTTCCAATCATAAGTTTTCCTTTGCGACTTTTGGTATCAAAAGGGACATTTTCCATGCAGGTTCAAAAGGTCCATCCCTTCAGCGCTGGCAAAATGTCCTCGCAGACCCTCCGAGCGCTGTTTTCTTGCTTCACCCCTCGGTATCTTCATTTAACTCCGAATAAACTCCCGCGACCGGAGGAAAACTCACAGAAACGCGCGGCAAGCGCCGGAGCTGTGCTGTCCCGTGGCAAGGAGCCCAACACCTCTATTGCCAAAAGAGAAAAGATCCGGGTTGAACTTTGTGTCCGCGGGCTGCGCTCCAGCTCCGCTCGCTGCGAGGGAGAGACCCCGGGGAAACTCCCTGTCCGCCCCCAGGCGGGTCAAACGGGCTGAAATGGTCTGAAATGGTCTGAAATGAGCCGAAATGGGCCGAAAAGAGCCGAAAAGATCTTATCTGCAACTTTCTGTCCGTGATCTGCGCTCCTCCCCAGCTCCGCTCGCTCCGAGGCGCTGCAGGAACAGGCGCTCCCTGTGACCCCGGGAAAACTCCTTGATGGCTCCCAGGTGGGTCGAAATGGGCTGAAATGAGCCAAAATGGGCCGAAAAGATCTTATCTACAACTTTCTGTCCGCGCTCTCTGCTCCCGGTAGCTCCGCTGGCTCCGAGCAGGAACAGGCGCTCCCTGTGACCCCGGGAAAACTCCTTGATGGCTCCCAGGTGGGTCGAAATGGGCTGAAATAGGCTGAAATGATCCGAAATGGGCCGAAACGAGCCGAAAAGATCTCGTTTGTAACTTTCTGTCCGCGCTCTCTGCTCCCGGTAGCTCCGCTGGCTCCGAGCAGGAACAGGCGCTCCCTGTGACCCCGGGGAAAACTCCTTGATGGCTCCCAGGTGGGTTCAAATGGTCCGAAATGGGCTGAAATTACCCGAAATGGTCCGAAACGAGCCGAAAAGATCTCGTTTGTGACTTTCTGTCCGCGCTCTGCGCTTCCCGCCGCTCCGCTCGCCCCCGAGCTCGGAGGCGCTGCCTGTGACCCCGGGAAAACTCTCTGATGGCTCCAGTTGGGCTCAAACGGGCTGAAATGGGCTGAAACGGGCTGAAATGGGCTGAAACGGGCTGAAATGAGCCGAAAGGGGCCGAAAGGAGCGGCGCGATCCCGCCCGTCCCGCTCACGCCGCTTCCGCAGCCCGCGCTGATGTCAGCGCTGCCCTCCGGCCCCGTCCCACCCTGCCCTTCCCGTTCCTGCCCGTTCCGATCCATTCCTGGCCATTTCTGCCCATTTATATCCATTTCTGTCCATTCCTGTCCCTGTCCCGCCGCTGGGAGCGGCCCCAGCCCCGGCACGGAGGGAGCTCCCCAAAATCCGCACCTGGGAGCGATCGCGGCCACACCCAGCCCAGCACCTGCAGCTCAAACACCCTGGAACCCGACACCTGCTTATTGAAAACACCTGGCACCTGTTTATTAAAAACAACACCTCCAAAATCCGACACCTGTTTATTAAAAACAACACCTGGCACCTGTTTATTAAAAAAAAAACAACACCTCCAAAATCCGACACCTGTTTATTAAAAACAACACCTAACACCTGACACCTGTTTATTAAAAAACAACAAACTCATGTTGTACTCTGTCCGAAGAAAGCTTTAAATCACTGATTGCAATCGCACGGCGCTCCCAGGGATTGGTTTTACTTTTTCTGTACCGAGCAGGGGAAACTGAGGCACTCCTCATCTCACCGGTGTCCTCACAGCTGCACAAAGTTAGGAAAAATCTTCTGCAGTTGCTGCTTTGCTTCGTGTTTTAATAAAAATAATTACATGTAAGTATTTTATGAGAGTCTCCCAATTGCACTCCATGTCACAATTAACCAGCATTTTACATGTAAAGGAAAAATAGCAGCTAGAACTAGCTGATATTCTTAATTTTATCTGCTCTTCTGCGATAAAGCCTTGTTTTCAGTTCTCTCAAAGTTCTTTATTTTCAGCCAAATTAACTGAAAGACTACTATTTTGAACAAAATTTGATAAGCTTTCCATCCCTGTTAACTCCTTCCCTGCATTTCCCTATCAACACTCTGTACCTGTAGCTATTCTGTACCTGCACCTGTTCTATTTTCCTGTATGGAGATATTCTGTACCTGTTCTATTCTCCTTTCTGGGGACGTTCTCTACCTGCACCTGTTCTCCATCCACACCTTTTCTGTTCCCCTTCCTGGGCATTCCCTAAGCCCCTCACGCTGCATGGATGCTCCGAGGTTACCCAGGTTCAGTGCTACAAAATTTCAGTGTTGAAATGAAACGTGAGTTTTGTGTGCAATCCTGATTTAGGGCCCATAAAAGAATCATTTTGAAAATTCTGAATTTTTGAATTTCAGTTCCTACAAAAATGAGTGTATTTGCCTATTTCCCTCCAGCTTTTTGAGCCTTCCTCCCTCATTAGTGAGAGCCAAATCTCCTGGATGTCCTGCAGGAAGAGGAGGAATTCTGTGCAAACCCTATGGTGACAATTAGAGCCTTTCTTAGGAATAACAGAGATCTGCAGCTAAAAATCCCGAGAAGAAGCTAAAATGTAAAAAGAGAAAGGCAGGAATTTGAAATATTTGCCAAGAGGGGCCTGTCAGGGGACGGAATACGCTTACCAAAACAAGTGTGAGGATCCAAGCAAACAATTTCCCTGCCAGGAATTTCTGCAGAAACAGCAAACTGCTGCAGACACTGGGGACTGTGCAGAAACAAACTCCGAATTTATCCCTGGGATGCTCTGAAACGCGAACTGGGAAAGCCACAGAGCGCCCAGGACAGATGGGGCAGCGCCGCGGGGCAAACTGGAGTCACTGTTAACCGTGTCAATATGTTCGATTTGCAGTTTAGTTTAATACATTTAATAATTTGAGGGCTGGGCACCAGGGAGGCTCCGGGGAGCCCAGCATGGAACAGAGGTCATTGACAGTCCTGGTGGGGCCCTGCAGGTCCCTGTGGGTTCCTGGGAGCCCTTGCAGGTCCTTGCAGGTCCCTGTGGGTTCCTGGGAGCCCTTGCAGGTCCTTGCAGGTCCCTGGGAGCCCTTGCAGGTCCTTGCAGGTCCCTGTGGGTCCCTGGAAGCCCTTGCAGGTCCTTGCAGGTTCCTGGAAGCCCTCGTAGGCCCTTGCAGGTCCCTGCAGGTTCTTTCAGGTGCTTGCAGGTCCCTGTGGGTCCCTGGAAGCCCTTGCAGGTCCTTGCAGGCCAGGCTGGAGCCCGGACCGGCCCGGAGGCAGCACAGGCTGCCGCTGGCACCGACCCCAGCCCGGGTGCGGAGCCTCTGTGGCTGAGCCACACCTGGCGCTGACACCTGAGCAAAGCTCGGGAGCCATCGCTGAGAGAGGATCCCCGACCCTGCAGGACACAAACCCTGTGTGATTTCGCTGCTCCTGCCCTGGAATCGCCCATTTATTCACCCTGAGAGAACCGGAGCACGGCCGGGGCTGAACCGTTCCGGCAAACGCCTCGGGAAGGAGCGGGTTGGGAATGGATCGGTTCTGTAGAGCTCTCACATCGCAGTCTCCGCTAACACGGGTGAATATTGCGGGTTACAGCGGCTCTGGCCAGGCTGTCTGTCTGTCTGTCTGTCTGTGTGTCAGTGCCAGGCTCTGTCAGATTACAGCTGACAGATCAGCGCACATCCCGCACATTCACTGCCGCTGTTCCTGCTAATGCACACCCGGCCCAGCGCTCGTGGAGGGATTTATTTAATTAATTGGCTCACACCGATCACCGCAGCTCTGCGAACCCGCCCGTCTGTCCTCGGCTCCCGGAGCCGCTCAGGTGCGCGCAGGTGCCATTTGGGGGGGATTTGCACGGTAAAGGCCATTTGCAGCTGCATCCCCTTCCCGGAGACCGAGGAATGTTCCCTTTGCTCTCCCTGGAGTGTGCCCATCGATCCCCGCTAATGGGTAATTGCCACTAATTGCGCTAATTGGCCAAACGCGGAGATTGGCTCGGGATGCGGCAGCCCCCTGGCTCCGGGGAGCAGGAAAACGCAAACCTCCCTCAAAGCCAGGGCGTTTTTGCTTTAAAAAAGGTGGAAAAATCGATTATTTCAGATATTATCACCTTATCAATCTGCACCGATGTAGGGGATGGGGTAGAAAAGGCTGAGTTGCGCTTTTCCTTAAGGTTTGCAGCACACGAGTTCTGTTTTCCTTCTAAACCTGCAAAGAGCCCTGAAAGTGCTGAAAAAGCCCTTAGGGGCAGCAGGAACTGAGGGTTTACAGCTCTGCCCTGCACAACGCGCTCTGAAACTGCAGCTAAATACCCTGTGAATACCCAAAATACCTTAATACCCTCTGAATACCCAAAACACCAGCTAAATACCCTCCAAATAGCCACAGCACCTTCCAAAGCACCCTAATCACCCTCTAAATACCCAAAATACCCAAACACCCTGTGAATATCCACAGCACCCTCCAAAACACACTAAATACCCTCTGAATATCCACAGCACCCTCCAAAATATCTGAAATACCCTCTGAATACGCAAAACAGCCTCCTAAATACCCTAAATACCCTCTGAATATCCTAAATATCCTCTGAATACCCACAGCACCTCCAAAACCCCCTAAACTCCCTCCAAAATGCCCGAACAGAGGGCATCAAAGGGTGGCCACTGCACAGCTCCACTGCCCAGGACAGACCAAGCCATTAACGATGTTTTGATCAAGCCATTATCGATGTTTTGATCAAGTCATTATCGATGTTTGGGTTAAGCTGTAATTAACGATATTTCGGTCAAACCGTAATTACCAATCTGATTTTTTCGGTGGAGTTCCCCAGCCCATCCCACGGGATCTCTGGGCTGACAGAGCTGGGAAGGACAAACGGAGCAGCTCAGATGGGGAAAAGGAAAACAAACGCAAACCCTGCAGTCAACCCAGCAAGGCCAACGCGAGCAGGGAAAAATGTTTTTCTAATTAAGAATATGAGAAGTTGCTGGTGGATGCCAGAAAACAA